ATTACAGGAAAGATGAAGTGTCAAAAACAGCAGGAGGACGCTAAAAATAGACAAATGAACCATGCACTGAAAATAACAGTAAATCTATCAATTGTGATTCACCCTAAGGCTTTCATTGGAAAAAGTCTACTATTTCATTAAGGACAATATTTAAAACCAGAAAAAAAGGATTTTGTAAATCTTAAATTGTATCTTATTTAAGAAATGCAAGGACCTAGTCTTTGAAAACAAATTTCATTAAAATATAAAACAAAGGAAATTGCAGTGTTTGTGAATAATATATTTTATTTTCCCTATATCCTAACTCATATCCTATCAAAATAGATAGCCTTGAAAGATATTTTATAACTAATCAGAATTAGTTACAAATGCTAAATAGTGAAACATCTTCTATAAATATAATTCCATATAGCAATTTAAGCTTTTGAGGTTAAAACCAGAAATGTATTAAATTTTTAGCTTTTGAAGAGAAATACCAAGTTCTACGCAAATGCTTACTGCTATTTTCCCTTCTTAAGAATCACTTCCTCAAAATACTTAAGAATTATTGAAAAAGTGATGTAGTATGCAAAGGAAGATTAGGGAATATAAACAGTAAGGTTTTAATGTCAGCCACAAATAGTTGTCAAGTATCTTTCTGTACTAGGTGAATGACTTTAGACAATTTGCTTGATATATAATACATAAGATGGTAGTAATATGCCTGGATTTTGAGAATTCAAAGAGTTGATACACACTATCAGCATTTAGTACAGCATCTAAAACACAATGAAAAGTTTTACCTACTCTTTCTTTTCCTGTATTCCATTCTATTAGCATAAAACAAAAGCTACAATCCACCTAAACCATATTGACGTGCTGTAATTTGTCTGAAAAATGTAATAAATATTTTAATGCTAAAATTTTCACTCTTAAATAATCAAGAAGGTGGTTTAACGTCAAAATAGCCATGTTTTCTTGAGTTTTTATTCTTCAACTGATAATTATAACATATTTTATACCAAAGGAACACCCTAAGGTTAAAGATGAAAATTTTAACAGTATTTAATTGTAGAGGCCAATTTAAATCTTGTAAATCAAATATATACTGACAACTTAAGATGTTAAAAACATTTGTTCAGCATGATTCACATGGAAATTTTATAATCATGTGATTAAGTTTTAGGTTAATCAAAAGAAACCAAAAATATATACATTACTGTGAATCTGGGGGAGTCATAACAATGAATTTTCTAGTACTCAATTTTCGTGTTTTGTTTTCTGTGTAAAGTTTGTAGAACACACTGAAATAACGGAGACTGAGAATGTAGGCCTGAACTCCTGCTGTTTCTTAGACAACACTATTTTCTTTGAAAAAATATAATGAACACATATTCACTTGTAGTTGGTAATAAAAGGTTTTTTCACTTTTCAGGAAAATAAAACAACCTAAATATTTCTCACCTAATACAATTACAGATAAAATTGTATTACATTTAAATTGATCTCAGGACATTCTGGAATTTAAGTCAAGGAAAAATAAAGCTATTCATATAATCCAAGGTGGAGGAAGAAATGAAGTCAAGCTCCCCAATATATTATTAGGGCTTGTACTTTGCCTTTATTCTTTTCTATTATCACTAAAAGATTAAAAGTGGGTTGACAAGGAAAGTTAAAATAGAAAACCATCTTGAAGCACCTCACAGAAAAATACCTTTTCAAAAAATTCTCATATTACTTCCAACCAAATAAATTACAAGCAAATAAATCACCTCTTAGCAACATTTGGTCATATTGACCACTATATTGTTCCTTAAAATTCTTTCTTCTTTTTGCTTCCATGACATCACTCTCACATAATTTCCTCTTAACTCTGGTTATGTTTTCACGTATTTTTCATGAGCTAAATTTCTAACCATTTTTCAATTGTTGGTGGCCCACAGGGCTCATTCTTCATCCCACATCTCTCCATTTCCATAAAAATATTTATTAAACACATAGTAGAGTCTAGGAACTCTTCTGGAATTGAGTAAAGTAGATGAAAAAAATTCTACTGCTTTGAAGTACATATCATATAAAGAACAGTCAATAAAAACAGTAAGCCTAGTACATAAGTAACGTTATACAGCATGTTATAAAGGTCTAAGTATTTTGAAAAATCAAGAAGGATAATTGGAATATATTCTAATATTCCCCTTACATCTTCTATTTTGATCACCGTGTTTGCTATTTTGACCATTCACTTTGTCAGACAATTCAGATACCTCTTACTCATCCTAAATTTGTCCCCTTCCCTTACACTCTACTGACCAGGTCTTAATTTTTTAACCAAATAACCTGAACATTCTACTCTCCTTATTGTGTCTCTAATTAAAAAATCTCAACAAAAAATAGGGGCGAGGACAAACTACACAGATTGTCATTAGGTTTTGAATTTAACCACTCTAAATCCTAATTTTCCTTCCGGTAAAATAAGGACAATACTTTTAGGTTGTTTTGACTAAATAAGTGTTCCCAGAGGTGTTAAGGCCAAAGAGTACCATTATCAAGGTACTAACTGTGACTAGTAGTCACCACTACTAGTAGCAGAATTATTAACTCCTGAAAGTCTCTTAGCTCCTTTCCCTTTTCTAGCCTTAGTCTTTGCCAATCTTCTCCAACACTATAGCCCAAGGAATCTTTGAAATTCACAGATCTGAACAGAACAGTGGCCCTAAGTGGCTCCCCACTGTCCTTTCCATAAAGAGCAAATGTGGTAATAAGGCTAAGAATTTCCTTTCAATTCACAATGTTAAGAGTGTTGTTATTAGTCAAAATTTACCTGTAGTAAATTTTTTCTGTGATTTTCAAAATGTTCAGTTTCTTTTTTCAATTTATCAAAGCCTCAGAATAGGACTTAAAAATTTTCACAATTTGTGTTTTTGTTTCAAGGACTTATTTAATTTTTATGTTCAAAATAGCCTTCAATTTAATTGAACAGGGTCATCTGGTATAACACAAAATACACACTAAATTATTTCCTTAAGGCTTTTTGTCATATTGTCTCTTTCTGGGAAATAAAAACAAAACAACCATGACTTCTTTATAGATTACTATGCATGTTTGTATACATAGGTGAATTAGTGTTTATGAGGAGTCATATAGATGATATAACAATGTCATCATAAACAGTACAATGAAATCTCAGAAGCTACAATATTGTAAAAAGCAACTTATACACTCATGCCTATGTTTAGAAAATAAAAACATTTTCTTGTCACTCTATGTACTATAGTTAAAGGAAAATACAATGGGATTTACTAAAATCACTTGATTTTAGGCTCAGGAAATGTACAGTTACAGGGCAAGTAATATTAAAAGAAGAAGATAAATATAAAATTGGCATGTTATTTAAGCATTCTGAGAAGCCTTCCAAAGCACATGCCTTACAATACTTAACAATGAAGCTATATCTTATTTGCTGATCAGGGGTAATAATACTTACCATATATATTTTCTAAATGAAATTACTTTAAACAGTTGATCAACTTACTTTATACAACTAAAATTAAATTTTAATGTATATATTATGTATAATGTGTATATAGAGTATAATGTTATCCTATAAAGGAAATATGCTGCTTATTAATTTTTTAAATCTACTAATATATAATTTAATGTCCAGATCAGGGTTTAATATTATCATATTATATTATGTATTGACATGAATTCAGAAAATACAAAGTACAGCAAAATTAACTTTTACTTTAAAAGTACAAAAACTTTAGATACAAGGCCTTGTGTTTTTAAAAAGCCAAAATGAATATTTTACTGACATCTGTTAAAGAAGGAATTCTAATGAGCTTATACATTATCAGAATCTCTTATGACAGTCAAAAGTATATTAACAAATTTGATTTTTGAATTATAACACAGTGCCAATGCCATGACCTCTGAAAATAGAGAGCCCATTTTGTTCTTGTTTTTTAAAACTTCAATCTGATTTTCCATGACGATGTTCAACCAAATATAAAAGTTTAAGTTTTCTCATCTCATTATACATTTTTATGCTATCTTATCTATCCCAAGATAAATGTATACAGCAAGGGTAAGGACACAAGGCATGCTATGAAGGTGATGGAATCTACTTTCTCATTTAAAACTGTATGTAGAATTCCAATGGCTCCTTCCTTAAATACGTGCAATTAATTAAAAGAATAAAGAAATTCAGGAGACAATGGGGCACTATAAATTATGTTATGACAGCCAAATAGTAATTTTGCTAATAAAACAAAAATAGTTCATGCTTGTCAGAGGTAAATTACTGATCATCTGTATCTTGATATCAAATTTTATAAAAGATTAGTATTTATTTGATGATGTCCCTGTATTACTATGAATAATGATCAGACATTATTACTTGTACCCTTCTACCTGTCTCATCTTTTCATAAGAAAATATGAATTAATTCTATGATATATTCTGGTGTATAAGGAGGGGTTACTTAAGAAACAAGAGGAAGATTTTACCTGTCCAACCAGGCAAGCAGACTCTTGGCTGCTCCAATGAGATCCACAACTGAGGTCAAAAAGTCATTAGGCAATTTCCTGCTGGTCCTCCCATCATAATGACCACTCCTTCTCCTTCCTGTTATAAAGTTCTGTAGATTTTTAGCAGATGCATTCAACTTGTGAGAAAGGGTTTTTAGGTTTTCTGTTTCCAAGCCATAATTCTGAATAATAAAAAAGAGATAAGGAATACACTTAATGTTAGTATTTTCTTATGAGAATATTTACTGAGTACTTTACAATGTAATGTCAATGGAACTCACGTTAGAAATGCAAATGAATGAAATGGATTCCAGGCTTAGTGGAGTTCACAGTCAAATGAGTATTAGGGGGAATATCAGAGAATAAACATATAAGGTACTTTATTTACTAGTATGAATACGGAATATTGAGGAAATTCTATCTTGGAACTATAATACCTAAAACACAATGATTATAAAGATACACATTTAAACCGAAAACTTAAATTCATTTACTTGTGAAATTAATAGATATAACTACTGCTTTATTATCTGTTCAATGACTATATGCATGATCATGAATATAGATGCTAAGAAACATTTTGCTTCCCGCAAACTAGCAAAGTAAGCATAACTCAATAATAAAGTGCAAAATCCATGAAAACTGTGTTGATCCTTTTCTGTGTCTTCTACATAATAACTCATAAGAAGTTTGTTTATAAAATGTATCAAGAGAACGTATGGTTTCTCTGGGAAACTAATTTACTTTCTCCTTTTACTGTACAAATTTTGACAAACTTCTTTTTATCACTGTCATAGCTACATAAGCTCACAGGCAAACATGGGGTGTACGCAAAACAATCATAGTGACCTCTTCATCAATGTATCTCTTTATCTCATTCTCACTTTATAGCTTATAGTATGATTTACTAATTTACTAAATATTTGTCTCTACTACAGACGACTATAAAGTTAAATATAAATAATTAGTATTTTGACATTTTCAAATAAGAAAAGATTATAGGATACCCTCAGATTTACGGAAAGTCTTCAGAAGACACAATTGCAATTTAAATTGCTGACTTGTAAAGAAGGCTCATTAATACGATCAAAGGGTGACCTTGATCAAAGCACTTAGGTGGCTATATGTTACTATCATATGTAAAAGGAAGAATATAGAAAATAACAAAACCCAAAGAATATTAGAATTTACTTGAGCCTTAGATGCTATTTAACTTACTCTCCTTTTAGAACTCTGGAAATTGAATTACATGCAGATATTTTTTTAATGATTTGCTTAAAGAGCTCAGTACTTAGACCAGACAGAGTTTAGAGAAGGACTGCAAATCATCAGGCCACCAGTGAGGGAATGTCTCTACCACATCATATTATCGCATCAATATTCTATTCTGTTCTGAGAAGGATGAATTCCAATAAGAAAAGCAAAGTGGAAGGCGAGTAGAGATGAGAAACGAATTATACAATAAATCTGTTTTATTATGTCAATGACTACTAGGCACACAGTTTACCTGAAATTTAAAAGACTATTTTCCTATGGTAATTTAAGACAAAACAATTTTGTGGATATAAAGGAGAGAAAAGAGGAAGGTTTTGGTGTACACACACTAAATACTATATTATATTGTTAGCACTAAAGATTTAATAGTGATTAAACATGCTCTTTGGTGATGATTAGTCTTTTATTAAAGAAGTTAAAGACTAGGATGACATTTTCCTTTTTGATCTTTTACTATTCTAAAAAATTCATTTCTAAATTTGGCTCTCTGGCTTTGTGCTTGTGCCTTTAAACATGTTCACATTTTTTCCTGCTCTTTAATAAAGAAAGTATGCTTGATCCTGTTATGGTTACATTTAGCACATCCACTACAGGCCCTATTTATCATGCTTTTTTGTTTAATTCTTTGTTTCAGATCTCCTCATAAGATCCTAGGCCTCTTAGGGAAACTTTATTTATAATAATTTATGGGCGAAAACGTAACCAACTAACTTTGTAACTCATCTTTCACTCTATAACCATTACCCTCCAGAAAATGTTAATTTATTTCTTTCTATAACATCAGCATCTCAAATATACTTACTAGACAAAATGAAACAACTCTGAATATTAATCTTCTTATAAATGAAAGCAAAGTAAAATATTAGAAACTTTTAATATTTAAAATCTTGAAATTATCATGAACATAACTTAAGAATTAGTGAAGAGAAAAATCTTTTGGATAAAGCCTGGAAGTATGCCCGAGTAACTCTCCTAACTTGGAAACTTCCTAAAGAGTTATCTTATATGAAACAGAGATTAAAAATGGGGAGGGCAAGAGAACACTGTATCAAGAAACAAAAGATAAATGGCAGAAGGCAGAGAGGAAAATTCTTTTTAAAAATATTTTTACTGAGTTTTTATGCAGTTCATATATTAGATCTTAATCATGTTTAGACCCCCTCCTTCAGAGAGGAAAATTCTTAATAGCTGTGCTAGGGCTTGCTGGGCAAGCAATTCAGTGGTAGAATACTTGCTTAGCATGCAAAGGTCCTGAGCACCACAAATCTCCAGCACCATAAAAAAGCCAAAATAAACAACAAAAATCACTTGTCCTAGTTGATAAATATAACTAATTATAATGCAAAAATATTTTTGGAATTCTAGAGAAAAAACATAAAAATGTGTTAGAAACTTATCTGCATGCAACAGATGTGCTATTTCATTAACAAAAGAGATGGATTAATTTCTTCTCAACATTTATCATTATAATTCTCAACTTTACCCTCAAATCAACTACTGCCAACAGTCATTCAACTTTAATGCAAGCAGATGGAAGCTTGGTTGAGGCATGCTAAATTACCAGTAAGTCATATCTCCTTGCTTATGACTGAAGGAATGAACATGGAAATGAAAATAGGGAGAAAAGAAGTACTGTCTTAACTTTTACAAAAGGCAGATTTATCTATTATACATTTGATTTTTACTTGATATGAATATTAAAACTTGGACTTAATATTCACATAGAAAAGATTTCCTCAAGAAAACAAAAACATGGACATAAGATGTATTTAGCTGCTGTTGTTATGTTATTTTTATCTATTATGTTCATATACCTGTTTGTGTGTTTGTGTGTGTGTGTGTATGTGTGTGTATAATTAGTGTTGATTTAGAACTGATTCAACACAGTTAGTCTAGTCTTAGTGATTTAGCACTAAGTTCGTACTGGTCTTCTCTTTTAATTATATGCATGCAAAGTTTATGTATGAAAGAACCAAATGAAGGAACACATTTTATTTTGGAAAAAAAAATTGGCTAAATCCTTATTGGTGGCCAATTTTCATCAAACACCTAAATAAATATTCAACATTAGCATTAAAATTTTTATGTCTATGTGATTTTATTCTGAGTTCTCAATTTGAATGCATAATGTAGCAGGTGTGTAAATTTATAATAGCTTTCTTTGTAAATGTGAGTGAATTCTAGAAGGCTTGCTTTAATGAAGTTTTTAGAAAAGATTTTTTTGAAACGAATAAACTAAGTAATTATGTTGCAAAGAAACATATCTTAGCAATTGAGATATCAGATTTTTCATATAAAA